GGTCGGCTTGTGGTCCTTGTTGTAGACGTCGTTTCCGCCGGAAGGGTAGACGCCTGTTAAACAGCTTATTGAGAGGAGCGAACTTTGAGGCGGGGAAAGCGGACATTTCATTCTCTCCAGAGACAATGGGGATCAGCGATTTCCACTGAATCTTTTGTGGAGAATGGAATGTCCTCGTGAAGAAGACGGGAGCAAAAATTAAAAGAAAACTATACCTTTGGGCAGCGGTACAAGGTGTTTATACGCAGAACGTCGCTGACACTGAAGTACGTACGTGGGTAGACGATTCCGGGGAAATTATAGTGCATGATCGAGGTGGGATCGTATCTTCCCATGTAGTACGTCGACCATCGTGGATATATCTTGAAGTTGTAATGCGAGGGGTTGCCGGCGATCCGGGGGTCACGATCGTCCCTAAAATTAGGTCCTTATTAGGTTTTCAGGGGCACAGTAATGGGTGGAGAACGTGGACAAACCTTTGATGCTCGTGGTAGAAGCCGATGATGTGCATCAGCTCGTGCATTACCGTACCCCGACCGTTGAACTTGAGGCAGCTCGGGTCGAGTCTCATTCGTGTCTCGACATTCCCTTCCGGAGTGCGGAAAAGGTTCGTCGTTTGACGGCCGATATAGGAGAAGCACCTGTAAAGACCTATCTCAGGGACAATGGGCTATGACTGAGTACAGGGCAATTGCTCCACAAAAGAGTACCTCACTCACCTCTCAAGGTTGTAGTACTTGTTAATCGACAAGTAGTACCGATCACCGGCGTTACGAGGACGGAACGAAATACAGGTATGCTTAGGGAATTCGGCCATAGCCGACAGAATAACGCTCCTTTCCCAGGGATCATAATGCGAAGCGATCTCGTATGGAACCACTCCACCTGGCCAAAGGCTAAAATACGGTCAATCAATTTTTTCTCGGAAAAATGAACTCAAAAAGCCTCATAGAGCGAAAACTTACTGCATACTCCATTGTGACGGAACTCTGAAAAGATCCAGTTTTTTGCCCTGTCTGACTATTTGTGGATGGGCAGAGGAAGACGACGTCTGGGCAACGGCGCACTTTACCTTTTGGTCTAACTGAAGTGTTTTTC